ATGCGGTCAAGGCTAGCTGGGCCAAGTGCGCTGTCTATAAACGCGTTTATCTCCAAACTGTGTTTGTGAAGTCGACTGGCAAGATTTCTCGAGAGCTACTCAACCGATCTTCATGAAATTCTTAAAGACTTGGGCGAAGAACTTTTTTTTCGGTTACAACTGTTTGAAAAAAATGTCGCAAAATTTTAATTTTTTAAAAAAATGGCGCCAATAATTTATTCTTCAGTTTTTTCTTTCGTGCAAGTTCTAAGTTACGATTTTAGCTAAGACATTGCGTCGGCCGAATTTAAAATGTTTTTTTTTTTTTTTCAAAAGTTTCAAAATTTTATTTATTAGCAGTGTATTTTTGTAACAATAAAAAATTCTATATTCATTCTTGTATGACAAAAAAAATGTTTGAAAGTGCCTGTTTTTTCCCCGAGGAAATCAATGTAAACCCTTAAAACAGAAACACTGCGTTGATCGGTGTCCGGTTATGAGGAATTTTACTTTATATATCTTAAAGGGTCTACGATATCTGCTTTTGGGTGTTACAAATATTGTACTTAATATACCACGTTCAGAGTATAATTGGCCAATAGTATGCTCTAAATTGCAAATCTAAGAGAGCAAAAATATTTGCTAAAAATTTACTTCAATCCCTCAGGTTGCTCACTCACTCTTCGTGGCAAACATGATATACCCTGTTCAGGTAAAAAAAAAATCTCGTGACTTTTTTTAAAGTTCTTAAAATTAAAGTGGTTGAATTGCCATTCAAAAGAAATAATTATGCTAAAATTATTTCCCTCGAAATTAGTCTCTCATTAGAATAAAACTCTGCATTGCAAATATTCGACTATTTCGCCATATTCGCGATGAATACCAATTTCGCTACTGCAAATATTAATTTCATTTATTTATTTATTATTTCTGTTTTGCGTGGCACTTGGCAAAAAGTTGCAAGAAGTGGCATTAATTGCCATTTATTTGTGCAAATGCAATGCAAACAGACAGAGCAAATGATAAATGTACATAGTGTTAATTTTTCAAACAAGAGTAGCGACAATCACGGCAACAACAAAACAAAACAAAGCATGTAAAAAGGTGTTAATGACATTTAATGAGTGCGCCGCCAGTTTACATTACTATTCAACAACAAAAACAATAAGTTGTTAGTATGCCGCAGCAACAGGTCGTTGCAGCAGTGAGTGAGCCACTTAAATAGATAAGTGTCGCCTCACTGACAATCCGTGACACATGACAATTGTCAAATGTATTTATGTGTGTGTGTTGTTTTAACTGCTGAATGATGCAACTATTTAACTGTGTATTAGCAGGTGGGTGCGTGCGGTTTGTGGGTAGATGCATACCTGCATTTTGATAATTATACATACGTGTATATGTATGTGTCTTTGTAGGAGTGTATGTGCCCAGCTAAGTGGCAAATATGAAGTTACATACTGCCGGCTTTTGCGGTTTCATATAAATATATATTTAAGTGTGCATGTAACTATGTAAAGTTGTGTGTGAGAAATACAAATGAGTAAGAAAGGCAAAAATCGAACTGCATTAATCAGCTGCGAGCGATGCATATCGATTTACGAACTGAAGTTATTTGCTGACTTGTCGATTTTTCCGCTGATGCATTAAATATTAGATTTAGGTAAAAAAACAAAACTCTGAAAAAGTTTACTCACTTTGACACTTGAAAATTGATGACGTTCAAAAGTCGAAAGCAAATGACGCATTGCTGCATGCCGTAAACGTTTGTCATGTCGACATGATGTTATAAACCAATTGTGCTGGTGTGACTGCGAACATGGGTAAAATACAGCCAAACATACATACATATATGCTGCCATGATGTCTTTTGTATCTCCTGTAAATATGTGTATACGTGCTAATGGTACAAATAATGTGTGCAAACTATTTTTAAGCACTGATGCGATCATTAAAATGTCACACTAGCGTAAATCAGTGACAGCCTTGTGACAGATATGGCCATCACGTAAATGTTGTACAACAAACATTTGCGTGCGGTAAAAGTCGAACCGGCTTAAAGCCGATCAATTTGCTCGCCACGAAATAACAAATATAGCGAATCATAAGTTTTATTCGTCGTTATCATTCGGTATTTCGACAGACGCTTAATTATATTTTAATAATTATTGATTGCAAAATATTGCGATTTAAGAAAGATAAATCATAATTACAAGTTGCTTTCGAGTGTTTTATGCATTTCTTTTTGGGATTTTTTGATTTTGTTATTTCCTTAATATAAAAATATGTTTTTAATTGACTCTCAACTGCAAAGAACACATTTCGAGTTTCTCTATATTTGTAAAGAAAAAACACAGAAACTTCAGATATAAGGGGAATATACATATGTTATCATTCGAAAGAACATTTTTTTAGCATTTAATTCTTTAAGATTAGCTCTTTCAAATGTTTGCCGTGGCTACGTCTCAAACCAAATGTCACCGAGATCACGAGCTTCCATTTCAGGCATCAGATAGTCGGTTATCACGGCGTCATTGACGGTTATGGACCGATGACTTCATCGGCCCACAAACCACATCAAACAGCTGAATGAAATGATAGCTCTTGAATCTCTTTAGGTTGTTCTTCGTCTCAAATGGGGCAATTTTGTTTGTTTAGATACCCATTGGGCTAGAAATGGGCCCCACTGCGGAACAAAATTTTCCTCGAAAAAGGTCGTATCATCTAGGAGCTTTTTAAGAGCCCCAAAAACTCGACACATTTTTAGCTTCAGCAATATTTTGTCGATATTTTTTATTATTCGGTTCTCTTACTACCCGATGCTATAAAATAGCGGGATATCATATATATACATTTTTTCGTATCGCAATGATCACTACTCAACAAACTGCAAATTCTTATTGACATACTTATAGGTACACCCAATCTCTTTTTAATATTGAATTGCTTCTATAATACACCGAAAACTGATCTTATTTTCTGCTGCTCTTCCTAACCTTCAAATCTGTTAAACTCACATGCTATCGAAAACAACTTAATCCAATTGATTTCAACACATTTTCATTTAGTTTTCTGACAAATTGCACACTTACCTTACTTTCTCCTCCGCTAATTGTTACATACAGAGTAAACATTGCTTTTCAATTTCGTGCACCATAACATCCAACAGATTATATGGAAAATTTGTATGCTTAACCTGTTCGCCTGTTTTTTACACGCGCACAATTAGCTAGCGTTCATTTATCATGAACTGTCAAATTAAGTGCGCATGCAACGTTGTGTGCGAAAGTTGTCGGCATGCAATGGTAAGAAGAGGATGGCAAGTGTAACGCACTGATATTTGTTGATAGACAAACAAATGGTAGAAAAGGTGTGAGTTTTCGTATTTCCCGTATTTTATTTGTAAATCTGAAGTATTTGCTTGGATGTTTTCAAGGAGTTTTAAATGCTAAATTATTAAATTACATTTCAAATTCAAAATACCTAAAATTATGAAGGCTATAATATATCATATTATGAAATAGCTATAAATATTTTTAACATTTTTTTATATGTACGTACTCGAAATATTTGCTACCCACCCAAACTACTTGTGAATGCATATTCCTACTAATCTTCATGCTGATCGCGTGCTTACGCCATATAAAAGGAAATCAAAAATTAACTGAAGTGTCCAAGTGCCTGTGTTGTTGCAAAGTAAATTGTACAAAAAACAAAAAAAAAAAAAAAATAATAAATAAAAAATTGCATGTTTACTGACTACATCAGCAACAATAATAATAATAGGAATATCAGCTTCAACTGCCTGAAAGTTGAGTACAAAATCAGCGCATCAATGCCAAATCTGTTTTTTGAAATTTGATTTTTTTTTAAATTTTTTTTGTTATATGTACATATATTATCGTTGCTACTGAACTCTGCCGAAAAGTGATGATGACAAACGAGCAACCTTGACTCATTGTTGCAAAAAAATAATATTAGATAAAAAAAGAAAAGAAACGTACAATTCGGTTGCACCGACGACAATAGTAGTTCGATCTAAACAATTGGCTCGTCGCGCTGACCATTTATACACATATTATCCTCTGTAGTAGAAGTACAAATTTAAACAATTTTGCTGGTGCTTCTTACTCCGTAAGATAATAATTGTATTATTATTTTTCATTTAATAAATAAATAAATTAAATAAACAATTTTGCGGTTGGCGTTGTTTATATACTAGTCGAAAAAGTCTTTTCGTATTTCTAATCAAACTTCAACTTATTTTTTATATTTATAATAATAAATAAATAAACAAATATGTTCTATTTTGGTCGACCAATTTTAGTAATTTTTTCCCAAAAGACATTATTCTATCAGTGAAAAACTTTCATCAGTGTAAATCGAAATTTCGAAATTTCCAGAACGAAAACGAGCGAACCATTGTTGTGCTACCCGAACTGATACAGTATCGTCTCCGTAAACGTCACAAATTTCATTTTGCGTGTTCTTCCTTTTTTATACAAAAATTTCTAAATATAGCGAATTTCTTGATTATTTCCACTCATTTGTGAAGAGCTGTAACTTTTTTTCAA